AGGCGAAGGAACTCCTCGATCCAGCCAAGTACGAGTCCAGGAATTCCATAGTTGTACAGCTTTCGTATCAGTATTTGATGATTTACCCTGTCAAAGGCTTTGGAGAAGTCCAGGTAAATAACATCATTTCCTTTTCCTTGATCAACAGCATGAGTCCAGTCGTCCCGAGCCAAAATCAAGTTGGTTGCACATGAGCGATGTTTTCGAAACCCATGCTGAGCGGGGGATAGTAGGCCATTGTTCTCCAGATAATCCATTACGGAATCCGCAACAATAGATTCCATGACGCATCCACTTCAGATGTGTTCAATTCAATGGTTCTGGTCGCCATAACTGATTCGAATTGAATTCACTAAATGTCACACCCTTCACAGATCATTGTGAACAGTTTATGCGGCCGGTGTGATGTTTACGTCTGGTGTTTTTTTCGCATTTTCTCATTTCCAACGTCCACCTGCATTTCCTTGATGCAAGCCAGATGATAAACACATTTTTCAAAGTCTCCACTGACCTTTTCCTAACAGTGGGTGCTTGTCATTCAGTGGTTTCCACGTCTGTCTACTCTAAGCGTATGGTTGCAGTTTCAGTTACGGTGTTTACAACCATTGACCATGCATGCGTATGGTTACACAATCAGACAGGTTGATGATCGACCCTGCACGGTTCTGATTTAACAGTCTACGATACAGTATGTGTGTACTGAAGGGAGAGAGGGATTGAACCGGTGGACCACGGTAGCCGAATTTTTTCTTTACAGATAGAAAAATTTAATTGTTTACAAACCCCCGCATCGTTTTTGTTTATGCACATTGATGCTCACATTGATCATACGCGCAAATCCGTGGATAGTCTTAGAGAACCAGAGAATCCGCCGTCAACGTCATCACTGGACTTGGCGGAATCTTTTCACACTGCGTCGGCATCCACCTAAAAGTTGTGTGTGTGTGTGTGTGTGTGATCTATTTTGAGCGACCACTGATAATTGTTCGAATTCACCTACTGATTTGGCTGACTTGGTCATTGCGGTATTTACACTGCACTGATTGTGTGGTAAATGGAATAAAGAATGAAGATGATTTCACAAAGCAGAGTGCAGCGCAACGGACGAAAACGTAACAGTTCAGTTTCAGTTAAAGCAACCATTAAGCATGCATTTTCGTGCGACGCTTTTGGTTACTGTCTTTTGGCTGCCCATTTGGATGAAGAATAGGAGGAAAACAGGAAGTTTGAAAGTAAGATCGAAGAGAAAATTGAGAGTTTCAATGGACTAATGATGCAGAGAAATTGAGATGCTCGAACGCCACTGTTTACGACTCCCAGCCATATTACTCAGTGTTCCTAACCATCGATTACGATCAGCCCGAGTTCCTCAGCCAGAGAGTCTAACAGGACCTATGTGATCCAGTCTCCTAATTAGGGTTTTCATACCCTCGTGCCAGATCTTAGCTTGACCACCCTTGGCTTTCTTCCACCTACTACCTGGCTTCGCAAACATCGCTCGCCGTGGTAACCTATTTGGTGACATGCGTAACACGTGTCCCAACCATCGTAATCTATGGAGTTTGACCACTTGCTCCAGTGGGCAACCGCGGCTGTCTAAAACTTTTCGCACAGCCTCAGCATTCCTCGTCCGGCTGCCCCACCAGATTCGTGCAATGCTACGTAAACAGCGGTGTTCAAACATCGACAATCTATCCGGGGCTATAACCGGGCAGATAAACCATCACCAGCAGTTCACTTAGGGGAATTGGTGAAAAGTCTGGATCTGAAATCAGTCAACAGAAAGTGTATGAGCCACACCCATATCAAGGCAATGCGATTTATCGTAGTTAGCCTAAATTAGATCGACCTGGTTGATTGTGTTGGTAACCCAGAAATTGCGCAAGAATACCTACGTAGTAACAACTCGTACATACCATGATCGAATGAGCTGGTCACTACTGATCTCCCATGGATTACCATTCTCAAACAACACCCTTCTGCCTGGCGGTTCAGGTTTTACCTCACCAAACGCTCCGGTTTTTAATTATCCAAGGAAGAGTACGTGTTTTAGCCAAGTATCAAATCATAGACTTTGTTTTTATAAAGGTTATTGTTTTGTGGTTTGACTGGCACAAAAACAAGTGTCAAATACCATCATATCGAATTCACCAGAATCTTAACCGTGGAGCGAAGTGTCGGCTGTGTAATCAAAGCTTTGAGTGGAAAAAAGATTTGTGCTGATCTGACGCAGCTTTACTATCCAGGTGTTACCAGACCCCGACCGATAAGCCATGAATCCGGGAATCTCAAACACTGACTGCCTAGTAAACTCCAGTTTTTCCGCTCTCAGATAATCGATAAATCATGTGCTCCTTACACTTATCAAGCTGCGAACGATCACTTCAGTTAGCATAATCGCTTTGAACAAATAGCTCGTTCTTGCTGTACTTTGAATCACAGCCTAACTGGTGGGAATAAACTATTGAAGATTATGTGACAATTTCTTTGCAGTAATTATTAAATGTTTTGCAAATTTGTAGTTGGTGTGTCAAATCACTTCGTTCCATAGGATGAGCTTCACTTTTTCCCAACATGGATTTCCGTTTGTCCCCCTCTTTCTCATCTGGGATAATGCGCTCCCCTCAATGTGTGTGTGTGTGTGTGTACGCCGCATGCAGATACTATCGGGCCTACTTGTTGCTCACATTTTACGATCTCCAACAACCCCGATTTTGGATAGATCTGCTCGGATTGGTACGGACAATTCAGTCCGGAAAATTCGACACTACGAGCAATGCATTTAGCCGCAGTGAACGAGTCCCACTGTTTTTACCTTATCCATCCCTTCCACCCCTCTCACAAGTACCTATGGGAACATTTTCATGACTTGTCCATAGCCCAGTAAGATAGTATTTGAAAAAAAGTGGAAAAACCTATCTGACTGTGAGTGCAAATATTCATGAGAAGAAAACTATAAGCAATATTCCCTTGTTGTGGAATGCACATAGATTGTAAGATGCGAAAGTGAACGCCATAGACAGCTTCTCGTCGGACACACGCTTGTGCGTACATCAGTTAGTTGATCAGTTCCTATTCCTCTGAGGAAATGCGTCTTGATGAAGTCGTTATCGTTTGTTCTGCTTAGTCCAGATATTCTAGCATGATTTCATCAGATTTCAGCCCGGATGAAATAGACATTATTATCATTACATGTGTGGTGAAACCTATGGTTTGCGTGGATATCTATTTTAGACGGATTCTGTCTCTTGTGAAAAGATCGTTAAACATTCGAAATTCGGGACAGTGTTTCGTGTCTGTTTCTGTCTTATGTGTACACAAGTCTTCTGGTTTCACAAGGAACTGAAAGAAATCTGTTTGAATTGATTTAGCGTCTGATTTTAAATCTTTGGCTTTTTTTAAAGGAGTAAATAATTCAAATGAGATTCATTAAAAAAAGAGATATAGCGGAAAAGCTTGCTTTCAGTGCTTTATCTACTGGTCAATTACATCACATTATATAACTGAGCGAAATAGCACGAAGAGACAGTTAAATCAAGATTTTAATTTGTGCAAAACGGGAGATGAGGGGTTGATAATTCCTTGCGGCGTGTGAATATTCGACTAAAATGTTAGATAGGTGAACTTCGGACACATGACCTCGCACCTGCCCTTATCGGTCTCCGACTGAGCTAAGCTAGGTGCTGTTCGATCGACCAGGCGTCTGGTGGTGCGATCTACGTAACTTGCGCCACAAGAGCAAGTAAACCCAGAAAGAGGTCATCTCCATCGGTAGCCTGTTCTTCATCTGTAATGGGAGAACTAATTTGGAAGAGTAGAATATGCACAGTTCTATTGAGAAATAACTGTTTTCTACCACATTCCTCAGCCGTTTACTCATTGTCCTCACAATACTATCACCTTTGAAAGGCAATGCAATGTAAACTTTTTTCTTCTCTACTGTTGAGCTATTTGAGTTTGCAATGTAGGCGCTCATCCAACGATTGACAAGTTCCTCTGGGTATCCATTTTTAGGAACATTGGCTTAACGGTTGCAAATTCATCATTCACTGTGTCAGTAAAACTAAGTCTTCTTACACGATTGGTGAGGCACTGAATTAGGCTTCGTTTACGTTGCATCGGGACAAAACTATGATAATTACTATTTGTCCTGTCCACGTATTCTTTCAGTGTATGGTGCGTATGAGGGATCCATCCCCGCGGTGTAACAAGTAAATACCAAGAAACTTTATTCCATGAGTAGATGCCATCTCTAGCGTGAAGGTTATATTATCTATCTCCTTTTTTTATCTATATTAAACAATATCAATTGGTGAATTTGCCAGAAAAGAAAACATATATTGACTTCGCATAACCATGTGGATTTAAATGTTATCTGAATCGGTCATGTACCTAAAGGGTTAATGGCTTATTCTCTCAAACCGCTAGTTCGCGGTTCGAATCCCGTCGGGTACGTAAAAGTATCATTCACTGCTGTTGTGTTTTGATCAGGACTGAACAAATTCTTGCCCCATGCTCCTAGCTCTCAGTTCGACAACCTCATATTTTTTTTCCTGAAATATGTCTTCCAAAAAGTAAGAAGGTATATTAGATCAAACAAATGTAAAAAGATAACCTCGGAGGGTTGATACCATTGCCTGTGTTTCCGGGAGACGAATTCAAACAGCTTCTCAAAATATACCGTTCAATTTATTCTCTGCTATCTCGAGTGCGTTGTTGAATATCACGTTTTTAACGCTTTTGCTTCTGTCCCGTTTTTTTTCCCTTTTTTTGCCCCCTTTTTTCTTCTTCATTTACAGAAACCGATGAGTTCGGTCACTTGTCACCAATTGCAACATTCCGTGTAAGTTGGATTGGGATCCCAACAACGGATCGTCTCGATGCGACTGTATTTGTTTATCGTTAACCGTTCACATTCATCTCATCTCCACACGTATCTGAATGTGGTTATCATTGTGCTCAATCTCCCTACCCCGTCTTTTTGCCTCCGGAATAAATAATTCCTCACACCGTTTTATCGTATCGCAGATCATTATCAGTCAGATATAACTTTTTTCATATGAGCAAAAAGAAGTATCATGATCACAGGATGTGTTGAATTCAACTCTATCGTGGTCATCTCATCAGCTGTGTACATACATTCAGATCACATGTTTGGTTCGTTAAAAGAGGGACAGGTTTGGGAACAGGCGAAGAGAAATCAATCGATATGATGGCCAAAGGTCACTTATTCGAACCGGATTAGGTATTGGGGCAGGGTGTGGAATCACTGCAGTTTGACGGGGGCAGAAGAAGAACAGGGACACCTACCTATCCGAGCAACGTGAAGCTAGCCAGGAATTCGGTCTGTTTACATAGATTGGGCTTTGCAACCTCGAATGGCAGCTACTTCCGCTAAAATTAGTTGATCATTAATACTTCTTCTTGCTCTCATGAAAATATCAAAGAGAACTGGTTGCATGAAACCTTTTTTTATCTGAATCCGACGGTACCCGCAACTTTTTCACTTCATCTGACTAGTTCCCTCCGCTGGAGTAAGGAAGGAAACTTTGCACTCGCTTTGTTAGTAGACAAGCCATTTGAGGTGTGTTTGGAAGGATGGGTATAGGTAACGGATTGTAATTGTACCGTCCCGACAGTTCATGTCCTCATTGATTTCTAATGGATAATTGAAACTTGCGGATATTCTTACAGAAGAAATTAGTTTTTCTCGAAATAATGTGAAAATTTTCCGTTTTAATCCACATACATTGGGCTTAATGCTACCCTGGTGACTGGAGTCTTGTTAAGCAGCACTCATGTCATACAGTTAGTTCGTCCATGTGATAGACTGTTATGCTTCATATACATGAAAATAAAATGAGATATTTTTGTTGCCTAAAGCTAAACAGTTGTGTGTACTGCGCCAATGTGCAATCCGTTCTGCCTAATCGTTTGGGTGCGGAGCAGACAATCGTTGACTGGATGTTTTTGACAGTCACTATTTACGTGATTTGGCAAGTTGGACCAAGGTAAACGGTCATGTATTTTGGGATGTTTTGGCGGGAAATTTGTCGCCACATCGAGTAACCTTTTCTGGTTAGGACACGTGTTGTTGCGCACAAACATAACGGTCCTCTACCGCCGCCTTAGGGTGGAGAAAATCGAGTAGAGGTCAGCCGATAGCTTGGAGGTAGGCTATGACGAATAAATAGACGAAGGGATTAGACAACTTAAGTGTCTCCTGCTTTCCGAGCTTCCGTCCGAAAGATTCTCTGCTCGGTCGGGTGAAGACCGGATAGGTGGTGGCAGCACATTGAT